AGGATAATGAGGAAACAGTGAAGCAAAACTCTCGTTAACGTTATGCACAGGAATGGCATTTCCTTGATCATTCAAATCTCCAACATTAGATATACACTTTTGGAAGTATTGGCTGCAAAGAGAAGAAAGTATACCGAAGTTTTGCCTTTCTTACCTTTTTCATCTTGATCACTCCTTATTAGAGTGCATAAATAATTATATTTTCACCAAGGTGTGCGATAGACTTACCTCCATGTGGTGCACCCTGAGCAACGTATACTCATGCGGCAAAAAAGTCTATAAACCGGCAGTTAACTTCTGAGTTAAAGCTATCATGACCCCACTGTATGTCATATTCGACTACTTTCACAGTACTCACCTCACCTTGTCTCTACCTTTATGTCTGTCTCTTCAGCATAGTCTTTGAAACACTCTTCTGTTCCCCCCCCCCCTCTCAACATTTTTTCACTTTAATGTTTCTTCTCCTCGTAATGATAACTATCCAAACGTGAAGCCTGAAGTCAACTAAAGGGCTAATAATAACTATCACAAAGCCTGCCATTTGATATAAATAAATATTTTCATCAATATCTAAGCACATTTTAAGAGTTGAATGCCTCTGTATAGCCATGCTCATTTTGACTACCACGGTGTAATTAAAAAAAAGATTGCTAATAAAGGTTGCTTGACTGATTAATTCATACTTTCGGACTGAAATTGATGCTGAAGCAGATGCGGAGGAAAAAACTCAATTTTGGGACAGGGAACTGGCTCCCTGGACAATCAGAACACACTAAAAGTAGACGAGTAGAGAAATACATAGGCATCACATAGCCGTTCCGGGAGATATTTGAATATTGATTGAAATAAAAACACGGGTTTATATGGGAACTATCTCAATTCATGAATCTGATAGGAAGTAGAGTGGAATATTTCAGCTCCTCCTCTAGCGATGAGGTTATCTTCCAGGATCCTGCCTGGGAATGACGTTTCATCAACGCCATACTACTGATTAACTACTGGTCCAAATGGGTCGATAGAACCACGATGGACAACAAAAGTAACCACAATAGGTGCATAAAATGCATTACTACTCAGATAATGTCAACATTTCCACACGTGTTAACACGAAGTCAAACCGAGTATTTTCACTAAAATTTCACAGAATATCTAACTTACAATTAATCCATCTAAAGAGGGAAAATTTAAAAATAAAATACAGTCACGTAGAGTTTTTTACATGTCAAAATACAAATTAAACCGAACCCTTTCGAATGTCACTTCGGACTCGCGCCTTAACATTACCCACTTTAAATAGTCTGTACTTTAGTTTTTAAAGTTGACGGAGTATAACAAGTCCCAGGTTGTGCTGACTATTGACGCGAATTGAATTCTGGAGAGTTTTGTAAAATACAAACTGAGAGTTAATCCTCTTCTTCCATCTCCCTAAGTAAACAATGAATGGTTGGGCTCTCAACTTCGATCATTACCATCATCCTGAGTATGAACCGGTCTCAAAATCAACGTGCTCACTAGATTAGCAACACAGGTGAGCCAAAGACAATTATTCTTAGTTGTGCACCTGCATAGAACAATTACAGGCATTGATTTCATCGCCGAATAACCACTTCAGCCTCTTTAGAGTGAAAATTATGTGATTTTTAAGTGGGTTAATAAGTCGAATCCCTATTCGACACACTCAATTGCATATTCAGTCCGTATTCAATTTATTCAAACAATATCAACAAAAGGCACCAAATTTAAACTTGAATCTCACCTCTCCCTGATCATCCACCAGGAGGCTATTGAGTGCCCTCAAGCACTCCCCCACAATCGCCATCGATACGCCTCCTTCAACGGCCGTCACAGAGGATGCACAACTTGCCTCACTAACACAACGATCCAGTGCCCATCGAAGGAGGAAGCAAATTCCCGGTGGTCGACAAAGGAGAAGTGAGGGCAGGAGACTGGGGATAGCCAGATGGGTGGCGTGATAACCCCTTCGAGAGGCAGCGAGTGCAGCTGCAAGGCTAGACAGAGCAATTCGGCGCTGGTTGGGATGAGTCGACGAAGCGAGATGGAAGAGCTCGCTTATGGTATAACCACCACGCTAGAAAGCGAAATAGAATGACCAGTTAATGTTAATGAAACTTGAAGACCAGTGTTGGCATTGCATTATATCTGGAATTCGATACTATGTATAACCAGCAGAACTTGAAGTTAATTACTCTGCTATAAATTGAAATTACATTGATTAGAACAGCCGACTCTAATTGTCGATGCACTCGTGTGAAACTCACAAATTTCAACGCCTTTGAACTAGATTATCGATTATTGAATCTTGTTCTAGTATCTGAGACCATTATAGCCACAGTTATTTAAACATCTATAAGTTGAGTTTTATCGCTTGTGTAACGGATTATCGGTTTTTGGATTTCTACCTGGAAATATAAGAACACCGGTGAAGCAAATATGCCAACTTACAAACTATGGTACTTAAATAAGCAAATTAATTAATTAATAAAAAACATTAATTGACCTTTGTGCCTTCCTCCTTCATTACCCTGTGTAGATGTAGTTTTATAAAAACACTCATGGAAATTTCATGTTTCAAATAATCTCAAGTTTTCAGGTCACATCCCGAACTGATTCGTTGCATCATTCAACTTGTCTTTCCAACAATACCCTCTTTCCACTCCTCGCACGAAGCGGAGGATTATTGAGTATTTTCCATCAGTATTTTAGTGTAATTAGTTAATGAGATGATTAAACACTTTTAACTCGTGCTTCGATTTCAGAAAATCTTACCTCTGGCTCTTCGCCATGGTGATGCAAACCCAAGTGCATGGGTATATTAGCCCCAGGGGGTACTACACGGCCTTCGAGATCAAATCGAGCACTGATGGATTGCCCATTGACGGATTTAATTTCATCGTCAGGAGCTTTGGCACTGCCAGGTAGTTCCTGCATCCAGGCAAGTTTTTCTGGTTCCACCACATCCATGTGTGGTATTGAAGTAGCTGATTCCAGACCCAGGGAAGCAAGAAGGGAGGCAGTATCAATGGAAGGCTTTGTTTCTTGTTGCGGCGAGGAGTCTATGTCCATTGGTTCTGCTGGAAGACTTCCGTGAGCTGCGCCCAAGGAATGGAAATCCCAATTATTCAAAGGAAGAAATGATAGGGAAGCTAGTGGAGTATTAAAGCTGACACTTTTGAAAGCAGCCAACCATTATTATCTGTTTGACTCCTATCTTGCCTTTCTGTCCCGATTTGCCATATCAAATTAACCTTCTAAGCACAATCCCTTACAGCACTACACTAATGAGACGTAGCAATCGGTGATTTAGCGGCATGGGGTGGTTGGCTTTTCCCACATCTCAGTCTTTAAGGGTTGGTAGCTTAACACTGTGGACATACCAGTTAGCAGAAGAAAGCCCTAACCGAATGTCGCAAAGACATATTTTTAGAAAAATTGCAGAAAGAAATGAGCAAAACCAAAGACAATGATCATCTGTAGGGAGATTTGGAGTCCTTCAGAAGTCAAGTTTCCTGCGTAAATGAATAGGTCCACAATGAAAAATGGCTTTTAATCCATGAATCCAGATGGTTTTCAGCCATCTCTATACTCTGACATAAATGGACTATTTACACTTTAAAAACATTGAGAACTTTCGATGTATAAGATCAATGCATAAAAGCAATAAGCACAAAACAAAACAAAATTAATAACTCACGTTTCTTGTGAATAAGGAAGGAAATCAGCTTCGGATCTAAAATAAAAAGAGTTTTAGAAGACAATCTGGCTAAAATGATCACATAAGGTGTCTAATTGGCCTTTAACTACACGTTGGATACCTCAAAGGTAAGGGAGCCATTAACTTCTAAGTAGTAACTTATAAAACCTCGGATAAGAAACTCGCATTCTAGCGTGAACAAACGCGATCAGCGATGCTGAATATAGTGACGAAAATCGAACAGCATAGGCAATAAACTGTAGACGTATCAACAAGTATTAAATAAAATTACCGAAACGATAAAACGTGGTCAGATGTTTGTACGGACAGTGATACCTGGGGAAATTTAGAAAATGCAAAACACGTTCCCTGATTTTAACAGCGAACGAGATCAGAATGTAAACCTTGAAGACTAGAATACCGATCTCCAAGCCTTTAAGGAACAAAATTAGTATTAATACTAGCACTCCTGCTAATTTGATGGACAAAGAGAAATTACACAATGCAATCAACGATGACATCAATTAGAAGAATAAAACTGACCCATGGAAGAAAGTAGAGCCTCTCTTTCACGCAATATATCCTCTTCAGACAATTGTGAGAGCCTGTTGATACTCATCTCATGAATTCGAACGAGTTCATTAGCCGCAACACTCTTTTCCTTCCGAATCACAACCGGTCCAATAGTATCCAATTCCTTCAAAGGCTGCGATACTACATAATCAATAAAACTAGATATCATGAAATTACATTTATCTGGTGCTATAATCTGGGGCTGTAGATCCGATTCAATATTCAAAACCTTCCCCTCCTTAGCAGCCAAAAGTTGCCGAGCAAAGAGACTTCTCTTTCGAGGTTGCTCAGAATTCAATCTTTTTGCAGCTAACAAAAGGCCTTCATCTCTAATAGTATCTCCTAAAACTGGGACGTGAGGTTGTCCGGTCGCTTCAGCTATGGGAACTTCTGAGTTACAGTTTGACCCATCTGTGGGAGTGATTCGTTCCTATCAGAATGAAAATGAATTAAATAATTGCTTACAATGATCTTAGAACCAAATGGAGATATCAAACATGAAGAATCCTTATATTGGGATGTATTGCGTGGAAATTGATGAGAGCAGATTTGTGTATTCACAATTCGAGCGGCTCGAGGATTTCTGAGATACTCGGCCTGTTCACTAACATCACGAAAGTGATCATAGAATGTGAAGACTTACCGAAGAAGATCCTCCTCAGCTTTTGCAAATCTATTAAGCATCTGATTTTAAGCTAAAATTAAAGGCAGAAAAGGCCCTAATATGCAACTATTAGACATGAAAGGAATTCTAAAATGTTCAATATCTAATAGAATATTAGATTTATTCTCAAACATAAACATATATATACATATATATATGTACATGCAGCAAGTATTAATTTATTATTTTATAAAAAAATAAAAACAACGCAAGTTTAAAAGATGAAAAAGAGCAAGCTCCTCGCATACATTTCTTACTAAATGCACGTACTTTATGTACATGGTATACTTTATTTGAATTCATTTAAACTTGCATAAAACACTTTACACCCTCTTGCATACATAAAATACGAGGAAACCCACGTTATTCTCACTTGCGCGGGGGTACAACGATGAATATAAACATCTAACAAATTACATAAAATCACTATCTCAAAACTAAATCAAAATTACTTATAAATAACGTTGAATTAAGTCGAATAAATTATATTATTCTGATTTTTATTTCTTGCGAAATATCAAGGTATGGATGTCTAAACAGAAAATGGGACAAGATGAAACATATAAGCTGTATGCAGCAAATTTCTATATGGCGCGCCCCAAGAGCGTGTTTTCGTTTCTTACTTGACATTGGTTGAGTTAAAGATGTTATTTTTCTGTAGTTGACGAGAGTGGCATATTTATATATACACTTATTATTGCTATGTTGCAGCACACAGTGGTGCTGAGTGTTGGAGCAAAGGAATTACCGCGTTCGTTGCGGGAAAGACAATACGATCGGTTAAGATGATTTTTTAAAGATTTGATGGGCGGCTGGGGGTGGAAAAGAAGTAGTCGAAAGTGATGTTTAAAATAATTTTAGGATTTCGGTGATCGAATATTTGAAGTTCAAAATTTAAACCACATAATTTGTACATTGGATACCAAGCTTAGATCTTATTCTTAATGTTCAATACATATAAGCCGATTGTTTAATTTTGACCCTCAGTTTTGTCACTTTACTCAATTCCTTATTTCATGGTTGGTCCTAAACTATTCTAAATCATTTCCATAAATTCCTCTTAATAGAGATCACTGAGCTGCATTTACTTCAGATTGATAATTGACTGACGGGTTGCGCGACAGATTTACTTCCACGTGGTGCACCCTGGGCAATGTTTACACATACGGCGTAAAAGACTATAAACTGGCAGTTGGCTTCTGACTTCACACTATCATGACCCCACTGTAAGTCATATTCGACCTCTTCCACAGTACTCATCTTTCCCTTTTTCTGCCCTTGTGTCCGTCTGTCTTTTTACATCTGTGAATCACTCTTCTCTTTTCCATCTCAACTTTTTTGACTTTGATGTTCCTCCCCTGTGCGAAGTCCAAAATCAACTTTGGAGCTAATGATAAATATCATTAAGCCTGCCATATAGTATATATAAATAATTGAATGGCAGTAATCTTAATTTGCGTCGAATTAAAAGAACTGTTGGAACATCGCTGTTATTTGGTTAAACGGCAGTAAGATTCGTTCATGTTGAGCTTTGTCCCGATGAAAAATATTTCTTGCAGCAAGTTTTAAATAAAAAATTGTCAATTTTATCTCACAAAGAATTATTTTTCAGAAAAAATTGTAAGATTCAAGAAATATAATTATTTGACTTTCATTGACCAATTAAAGAAAAATGACTGTTTCTTTACAATTTAAGCATTTTCTGTCTAACTCATGATATTTTCCTCCAAATTGTCTATTGATTTATCCATCCAAATTTTAAATCTGTACGAACTTGGCATAGCATTCCGAGCTATCTTACAAATTATTAGCCAACGAGAGTTTTGGGTGTCTTCTCAAGATCCCATAGTGGTACATTGCTCAAAGTTTTTTTTGTTTGAGTAGGTAAAAGAGGAACTTTAGGTGGTGATAAGAGGTCTCCTCTATTCAAACCTCTGCATTTTAAAATGACTTTGTTTTTGGCGATGGCGAAATTAGGCTAGACTAAGTAGAGCCACCCTTTAATTGATTAAATAGAAATGAATGTGATGGAAGAGGAGAAAAGAACAGAAAGTGGGAGATGGTATGAAACGGTAATGGACGAAAGAGAGCCCAGTTGTGAGTTACGATATAGTGATTGGCAGATATCGGGTTCGTTGTCCATTGAAGAGCGAACTGATGATTTTGACGAAATTATGAGTCGATAGGTGGGAAATACACGTATAGACCAGGCAATGAAATAGTACATTCCAAACTCGTTTTAACCCTATTAAAACCATAAACACATGTAAACTAGTTTTTCTATTTCTTCATTTACAACTATTTATGTGGTTGTTTAAATTACAAAAAAACAGTTGCTATATTTGTGGGACACACTCTGGAACTTATTTATAGCAATGAGGATCCGGCTGCATATTTGCACTACAATGGATCCAGAACAACTCCTGATTTACTCTTGGCTTCAAGCGTCATCAGTGAGCACACACACCGCAAAATAATTGACGACCCTGGTTCTGGTCACAAACCAGTCATTGCTAGTATTACCTTCGGCAGCAAAAGCATGTCAAGGAAAGTGCCAACTAAGCTATCATGGAACTTCAAGAAGGCTGACTGGCCTAGATTCACAAACCTTTTAGAGGATGAACTTCATTCAAGTCCCCTCAACTTCAACCAACATCCTGACAAACTTTGCACTGCTATCACGAATATTATGGTCAGATGTGCAAAGAAAACTATTCCCCGAGGCAAAACCAAACACTATCGAGTGTTTTGGTCTAAACACCTTGAGGAACTGAAAAGAAAGAGGGACGCCCTTCGCAACACTGCTGATCAGACTGGAAGAACGGAAGACGTAAAAGCCTGGAGACGACAATCAGCTGTCCTAAGGCAAGCCATCTTGCAAGCTAAACGCACTTCTTTCGACAATTTCATCTCAAGTATCAACTACCAAAGTGATAGCCAACGCACTTTCAAATTTCTGAGAAACCTCCAAAACAACAGAGAAAGACCCAAGAAAGAACCAATACGCTTAAGCAGCAAATTGCTTACCACCGACAACGAAATAGCTAACTGCTTTGCGAAGTTCTATTCNTCAACACCCATTGATGCAATGCTCCAAGTTACAGGAAACACCACAATAGGCTCCCTTATCAAAGAGAAGGCCTTGATCCTGTATGAGAAACTACTGCGCATTCCCATGGACAAGTTCTTCAGCTCCTATGAGAATAGACCAAGACATCTGAAAACGCAATCTGGTCTAATACAGAAAGCCATAGAACTGAAGAAAGCGTTACAAATCGATGATCAACCAAAAAGCCTCTCTCTCCCCATGAACCCATTAGCAGACATTGATGTAGTGTGTCGCACCCAACTGCTCGACTTCTTCAGGAAATCAAACACTCGTCCCGAGCAAATGCGTTCACTGGCCCTTGAGACAATCAATGTCAACTATCCTGCAGATCAATGGCTCCAAGTCTTCACTGATGGGTCATACACAGAAAACCAAGCAAACGTTGGTGCAGGTGTCTATTCTGAACTCTTCTCTTTCTACGCAGCAGCGGGATGCCAAAGATCCGCTTTCGAAGGAGAAATAGAGGCCATTAGGATAGCACTACGCCAATTATGTTGCCTGGATACGAAATTCACCAAAGCGGTGATACTTTCGGACTCACAGTCAGCAATAAACTCTATTGGAAACAGAGAGACACCCAAAACAGCTGGGATAAAGGAATGTAGAAAACTCTATGAGCTGCTGAGAGAGAAAAACAAAACAGTGGTCCTACAATGGATTCCTGGTCACTGTGGCATTAAAGGCAATGAGATTGCTGACACACTTGCTAAGAAGGGGACAACAATTTTGCAATGCATGGACCGGCCCATGTCTTTCCTCACAATGAAGGCCTTAATCAGGAGAGAATTCCAGACCTCAAGGTACAGCGAACTCAAAGCTCGAACAAAGGAGAAACAGTGGACAGTGGCACTCTCCGACATACCCGACTGGCCAAGAATCGAAGCCGTTGCTGAGTTTAGACTACGTCCCGGACACGATTGCTTGGCAAAACACCTTCACAGATTAGGAGTACACACTCAACCAACATGCCCTCTATGTAACCTACATGAGGAAATGGAGAAGACCCACCTGATTCGGTGTCCAGCTCTAAAGACAAGGACGGAAAGCCAAAGATACTGGGAAGCAAGAAGACTGCTAATGAACTGCTATTAATTAACTGCTATAAATGTACCCCCCCCCTCTTGGGGGAAGCTGAAGTCAAAGATTAAGGGCTAATGATAAATATCATAAAGCCTGCCATTTGAAATAAATAAATATTTGTAGGACACGTCATCGCATCCATGCACGCCTGGATTGGGAGGCGCGACCGTACAAACAGTAACCAATCATTAACCTCTGTTTGTTTAACCCGTACAAACAGTAACCAATCATTAACCTCTGTTTGTTTAACCTAATCAGCCTTCCCGATCATGATTAAGCTCCCTGTGTGATCACAATTCACGTTCCGTAGCTAGTGAATAAACGTATCGGTGATGTCTCTTCTTCTATAGGCTCGGTAATTTGGAGAATCTATCACAAAGGTTTCTGAGACTTGAGCCAGGCTTTACTAGCGTAGAAATCCGCTACAACTCCTTACTTCTCCATTTTCCCTTTTAACCGCAAATATTGCCGGCTTGATGTACAATTCTACTTCCTGGTTTGCTTTCTGCTGAGGAGCTCTGAAGTCAAAAGGTCAATACTAAACAAACTCTATCTAGTCTACCCCAGTTTGATTGTTTAAGTACACAAAGAAAATTGAATAGAAATAGCATGAATCTTTGAAGGTGGTGAGTATTCTTTTCATGAGAATTTGCCGCATAAGTTCTCTAAACTTTTCCCCATTAATGGTACATCTGTTCAACTCTTGGTGACCGATATAAAGTCCGTGTATACTTCTTTAAATAAGTTAATCAGACAAACAATCTAAAGAACCACAGCTTTTGAAATAGCATCATCAAACGAGAACGCATAGCTATTCATCTCTACTACGTTGTGACAGCAACCTGCTGGAGTTACCGCTGTGATTATTTTGCATTCTCCCCACCATTGGGGGAAAAACTATCTTGAAATAGACAAATCAACCATAATAATTACAAAAAGTTTACGAAACAATGGATATAACTGAAAATCAATGGATAGTTCAAAAAATCTTGATTTTTGATAGTTAACAACTCATTAAGCGAATGCCATACAACTCAAGCCCAAAATCAAACACCCGTTGAGACCTTGACGTAATAATAATTATTATAAAGTCCGTTGTCAGATAAACGAACGAATTTCGTTTATTCGATAATCATAGTCAATTGCAGAAAAGATATTTACAATTTATTCTTATCTCAAAGCAAAAAATACTTCTTTAAGTACATGAGTAAATAACGACATTACAAAAAAAATGGACAATTAAATATTAATGTGGAATTAAAGATAACAGAAGCCTGTGTTGCAGTTCGATTGAAGTAAGTAACCTCATTTTTGCCTACTCAAAGATAGAGCACCCACAATTTGATCGGAGTGATTGTTCTTTTTGTGATTTTCTAACGACCGTGCCTGGCAAAATCCGCGATTGCAGATTGTGCAGGAAAAGGGCTTCTTCAATAAGTGGGTATAACTGCAAACGTGAAAACAGACGAGATATTAATTTAAAATGTAAAATAGATAGCAAGTATTAATGAGACTGGAGCCGAGCATTCATCTTAACTTTCCTCTAAAGCGCAGGCGTTGAGTTTTGACAAAATAAGTGCGTTATCGTCTTTTTAAAGGCACTATTTGCCACCTAGCAAGCATTCCACACCCTCCTCTCAGCCTGCTTTCATTTTCTTGGAGAGGGGAAGGTAAGTAGGGGCGTCCCTGTGGCTTTCAATTTCATTTAAATTAGCTTTAACCAACACATTATAAATGAATTTTGATTGCTATGTTGCACTTCCTCAAGTGAATTCCCCCCCCCCTACATGGTTGGTAGGTCTATTTTTGATTAATCGATAATTGAAAATCTCACTTGCCTATGATCTCTCAGGTGGTCCTTTCTTCGAAAACGCCTGGAACACACAATGCATTCAAATGGACGCTCATCAGTATGAGTTCGTTCGTGAATTGTGCGATTGTAAGCCTTTGTGAATCCTCGCCCACAATGCGAACAAAGGTACGTCGGAGCGGCCCCTCCGTGTTGACTTCGTCGCCGAGTTGATATGCTTACTCCTGGTCGATTAGATTTCCGCAAAGTCTTTGCAAAGCTATGATAAATATACGTTATTTAATTAGGTTTCTGTTAAAAATTCCTGACATCGCTTTTCAATTAATATGAATAAATTATTTAGGCTATTTCCTATTTAGTTATTTTGAATACACGCACAGGTAAAGTCTAAACTTTTTAATAAAGTGGATCTTTCATGATGCAAATTACAAACCCACCGTTTTCATGCCATAATTGATATCGACTGATAGAGTATTTGGCTTAGAGGAATGAGATTCAATTTAATCAACATTTAAGTTTGTTTTCAGCTGATCATTTTCAGAACTGAAAAAGAATTGATTACATGTGATGTTAGTAAATGTGTTTGCCTATACCATTATTAGCTAGTAATTGTGTGTTCTTTTAACTTTTTTGTTGAATATTCATAGGAGTCAAATCGATTTCAACGAACTCACTATGATAATTTAAGCTTATCTGGTTCCATTCGGGGGCTTCTATGATTGAAGGTGGTTGGTTCGGAGGGTGAAAGGATAGAGGTTGGAATAACTGGCGGTAATGGAGGTAAAGCAATAGGAAGAAAACCAGAGGAGGTCAAATCACTTTCCCCATTTGTCTGTTGTGGTGGTTGCTGTTGTTGTTGTTGTTGTTGCACACTCTGTTCAATAGTTCCCGAACGCCAAAGACGAACTCCGATAAGCATCTGGTAAATGTGTAATAGAGTCGCAGAAGATGACGCTGAAATGGGAAAAATAGCTATAATGATAACATTAAACACGAGCATCTTTAGATGACTTTAGAGCTTACCGCTCAAATTGAAGGGCAATTCGGATAACATCAGTGGAAACTTTATTTCACCAGATGCATCCCCATTCGAATTCGGCGAAGAAAACGAGCTCTTAGCACTTTCGTCCAGCCTTGTGGAAGCAGAAGAGAGACTCAAGTCCAAAGGTTCTCTGTCGCCTTCTTCTTCAAGTTCTTCAGGTGGAATAGGAGATAGAGTAGAAGGACTTTCTTTTGATCGTCTAAAGAGATTGAAATGAGATATAGGCCTCAACGAGGAAACTTACTCAGAAGTGGTTTGTATCATATTTCTGCACGTTCTTGACAAAAATGACCACAGTTCTATGGGAGCAGTGCCTCTTATAGGTGTTTGTGAATTCGGGGTGGGGGGAGTGGGGGGGGGGGGGGGGGGGGAGGGGGGTCTGGGAGATAACTGTTTTTCTCCCTACCGATTATGCAAATTAGTGTGTTACATATGCGATGATTGGTCATCCGGTGCTTGTGTGCTCGCGGTCAAATGCGCGGGATCTAATCACAGACTTTTGCTAGGTTCCAGATGGGATATACCATCTGCTCTTTGGTTTCTTCTGTCCATGGTTTTACTCTCACTAGAGCAGATGTTATGAACTACCTATGGAAGATGACTTATCATGGAAAGTGATTATGCAGACGTATTGTAGACACCCACATTTGAGGCAGATGGTTATTATTCTGCAGAATATGCCTTTTAAGGCTACTTCTTATTTAGACAATAGTAATTATAATTTTATTATATGCAGACAGGTGCAAAATATCTGTTTAAAACAGAAATTGGTAATTAGCATTATTAAATTTGTGTTCCTAAAAAATACTTTACTAAAAAATTTAAATATTAGAGCAAAAGGGTAGATAATATTTTTCCAAATAGAAATAGTTACAGGAAATAATTAATATTAATATTAATTAATAAAAAGCTGATATGAGCATTTTCAACTTAACTCGATCTTCTGCTAGAAGGTTTTGTCAAATGGTTATTTTTAAACTTCAGCAGTAAAGTGGCAAAAAAGCCGGAAAAAATTATTTCAATAATTGATTTCGAAACAGCGTTTTTTTCAGTAACTCAAAAGAATCCATTTTAATTTTATATGGATGAAGGGCACCTTAAATCTCAATCAAATAGCTTTTATTATTTATTCGTAATCAACTTATTTAAACAACAGTTTGAGCCGTTTCGATTAATTTGATGCATTTTATCACGAGTTTGCTTTAATAACTGAGCATTTCCTTGAATTCAAATCACAAATTTCAATCTTCTCTATTCTGAGAAATTGGACATATTTACCATTATTTGCTCTTGTACTAACAGAAAAAACCTTTCAAGTTACTTAGAAATAGAGAAGGGTTCAGTCTGTAGCTAACGTTCCATAATTATGACTTGAGCAAAACCCTAAAGATCTTCTTTGACAAAACAATTTTATTTTTATTTCTAATGGCAGGCGTTATGATAGGTATCATTAGCCCTTTAGTTGACTTCGGGCTTCACAGAAAGGAAGAGGAACATCAAAGTGGCAAAAAGTCGAGAGGGAGAGGGAACAGAATAATGATTCACAGACGTAAAAGAAACAGACAGACACAAAGGTAGAAAAAAGGTGAGGTGAATACTGTGGAATTATTCGAATATGAAATGCAACGGGATCATGATAGTTTGAACTCCGAAGTCAACTGCCGATTTATAGACTTTTTGCCGTATGAGTATACGTTGCCCAGGGTGTGTAGACTTTTTTGTCGCATGAGTATACGTTGCCCAGGGTGTTAGACTTTTTTGCCGTATGAGTATACGTTCCCCAGGGTGCAGTTAAAAGACTTTTTGCCGTATGAGTATACGTTGCCCAGGGTGCACGACGTGGAGGTAAGCCAACATTTATTCCTAAATACAGCTAAGCTACCACAACGGTGTTGAGGACATTGAATGCATGAAATGTGTTGCCAATGCCACAACTATTAGACCATAAAATACATTAAGGGCTACACTGATTACTGTTTGGCTGGGGTAGGGGGTGGTGGTGGGGAAGGGAGGGGGGGGGGGTTAGGTCAGCGGATTAATGGCGCACCTCAACGCAATGCTATCAGTCGCACGTCAGGACCTTATGGACTAATTGAGCACACATACTTTGTTCAGCCTTGATAGCATTGTGCACTCCGCATTTATCGAAATTCTGCAACTACCATTTAGCATCTACTCAAAATTTTTTTCAAAAACTGAAAGCTTCCGTAATCATTTAGTCGAAATGCTAACATATATTTATTTCAAACTTTTCCGATAAGTCGTTGAACACTAATCTCTTAATTATGGTATGGATGTGTACCTAATTCTTTGCCCGCAGTTTCTTAAACTACACCAGACCTCATCGTAACATTCATGACTATTGAGTTTGTATGACAATTCTGAACGATCTTTACAATACACCAGTCACCTGTTGGTAATCCACCATTTATCCACTACAACAAGCTATTATCGAAGCAAATACAATGGCACGCCAAGTTTTGATCATATAATCAACCAATGTTCAGTAAAACAAGTGACAACTCAATGAAATCATTGTGTGTTGATCGTAAAATACGGCTATGCCTATCCAGTCATTTGAAAATAGCTCATGTAAGTATATTTGCATTAATAATGAAATAATAAAAAATAAATTATTGTTCTGTTAAGTCCATTTCCTACTTCCTAAGATGAGTGTCTCAAATAAGTGTGATAGATAAATAGGTGGTGCTAGAGCTGTTTTTTCTGGTTCTGTTAGCTACAAAAATTGTATTCGCTGATTCCTCTACTTCCTGTTTCTGATCCACTTGACATTCAATGACCAATGAGATAATTCTTTATCACTTATTAGATTTGCAATTGCGGGGCGTGCGATAGATTTACCTCCACGTGGTGCACCCTGGTCAACGTATACTCATGCGGCAAAAAGTCTATTAATCGGCAGTTGACTTCTCACTTCAAACAACCATCACCCCCACTGTATGTCATAGTTGACCCCTACCACTACTCATCCTACCCTTTCTGAGCCTTTGTGTCTGTTTCTTTTATATCTTTGAAACACCCTTCTATTCCCCCTCCTGAATTCTTCTCACTTTGATGTTCCTCCATCTGTGAATCACTCTTCTTTTCCCCCCTCCCGAATTCTTCTCACTTTGATGTTCCTCCCTCTCTGTGAGTTCCCCCTCCTGAATTCTTCTCACTTTGATGTTCCTCCTCCCCTCTGTGAAGCCTGATATCAACTAAAGGGCTAATGATAATTATCAAAAGGCCTGCCATTTGTAGTAAATAAATAAATATTTGCAATTGCGAATTGTACTCCTCCTAATGAATAATATATGTTTTTTGTACAAACAAGTGTTAGAATAACTGGAATCACGTTTGACAAAGTGAGGCAGATGGGTCGTGATAAGGTGCGTGCGTGTGTGTGTGTGAGTGAAGATTAGAGCTTATGCAAATTCAGGTGGAAGAACCGCAGGCTACAGTGCGCATGGTCAACACACTTGCAAGGTGCGTGTGTGCATCACACATTCTTCCCATGGCAGTTGAGGCAGCAGCTGGGGACATGCAGGAATGGGCTGTCACACGTATTAGCATTTAGCGGAACTGTTTGCCCATCTCCCCACTCCTAATCGCACAGCCTGACCCCGTTCGCATATATTTGCGCCTCCTATCAACTAGCCTCCAATGTCCCAAACTCGCTCTCTCTCTCTCTCTCTCTCTCTCTTTCGCTCTTTATTTGCCCTAGCAACGATTGTTTAGGGACAACCGTGATTGCATAATGAGGAGGAGGAAGAGGAGGATGACCATGCCTTGTTGCTGAATCAGATTCTTATTCGGATGATACTGTCATAATTAAGCTATGGCAAATCATAAATACCTGGGTCTTTTGATTTTCAAAAAATCTCAATTTGACACAATTCAAGTGTACCAATACCATCGCCTTGCATTTGACCTATGTTTCTAGTGCTATAGACCTTGATGTCAACTGGTATTCCAATTTTGGATACAGCTGATCAAGCTCAGAAGAAAAATGGAAAAGCCACGTGCTCATACAATATTTTTTCGTTGTAAAATCTAATTGATTAGCCTACTTTTAATCTGATTAACTATCTCTTTAGTAAATAAAGTCCATATTAGTGGCCTTGCATATCCTGGTGTAAGTGTGGAGAACTTTACTCAAATACACCGAAAGCATTTCGGTCAACTTTCGAAAATCCGGCTTTTTAAGTTAATATGAGAATTGGTAAAATCGCATTGCAGTAACACTTGTTCTTTAGGAAAATCAATTCTACTACTAAGAAAAACTTATTTCAAATGGCAGGCGTTTTGATAGTTATCATTAGCCCATCAGCTGACTTCGGGGCTTCACAGAGAGGAGAAGGAACATCAAAGTGACAAAAAGTCGAGAGGGGAAACAGAAGAGTGATTCACAGATGTAAAAGAGACAGACAGACAGACACAAAGGCATAAAAAGGTAAGATGAGCACTGTGTAAAGGGTCGAATATGACATACAGTGGGGTGATGGTAGTTTGAAGTGAGAAGTCAACTGCCAGTTAATAGACTTTTTTGCCGTATGAGCATACGTTGCCCATAGTGCACCACGTGGAGGTAAGTCTATTGCACAGCCCCTAATAAGAAAAATAATTCTTGGCTAATCGAATATTTGGCAGTTAGTGACTTCGACAAGCCCTTTTGGTTTATCAAGCGGCTTTAAGTAGATAATAACCTATCGCTTTGTGATGATCGGTAAAAATCGATTATGATTAGGAATACACATCATCCAGTCTCAATGTGTTTTAATTTG